TTCTTTCTTTCTTTCTTTCTTTCTTTCTTTCTTTCTTTCTTTCTTTCTTTCTTTCTTTCTTTCTTTCTTTCTTGCAGAACCAGGGATTGAACTCAGGGAAGAGCTTGCCAGGGAAGCGCTTACTCTACTGAGCCATCTCCCCAGCTGCTAGCACTTTTCTTTATCCTTTCAATTGGCCTTAAGCAACATATATTGGTCTAGCCAAGGTGCTAGTGGTAATTTTTGAAGACAATATGCATGCTTCCCTGATAACCCACACCTGCTGCTCTTTAATATGAGCTGGGTGGAGACAGGAGGAAGAGCCAGTGTTCTATGCTGTAGGCTGGGATCCAGGCTCGAGATAGAGGCTATGACTTCCTGGGGCTTGAAAGATTACACATCAGAGCCAAAGCACTAGACTCCCAGAAACCTTAGATGCTATCTTAATAGCATGATACAAATTACTTTCTCTGCATATCCTCTCTGCATATGGCAGAGGTAAAGGCAGGCCACCTTCCTAGCCCAGCTCACAGTACTCACCTACTTCCCACATTTCTCTTCCTCAAGTCACTCCCCCTGCTCAATTGAATAAAATCCCGGTGTGGACCTGGGTGACTCTCTTGGTTCTGAAAAGCCATCTTCATGGCTGGACTGAGGGCCCCTTGGCTCCCCAATAATTATATTTGTGATTTGACTCTGAATCTTTGGAAATCAGGCTGAAGTCTACTCTTTTTATTTATTTATCTATTTATTTATTTCCTTTTTGAGACAGGGTCTCACTGTGCAGTTCAGACTGGCCTTGACCTCACTTTGAGACCACCCCAGGCTGGGATTACAGGTGTGTGCTACCACACCTGGATGAACTCTACTCTTACTATAAAGTCCAGCCCTTGGATACATCAGATTAGCCAGGTGTCTAGGGATGTGGAGGAAATAGGCCAACATTATCCAGGCTACATATAAATAGGAATTTGTTCCAGATGAAGTACTTTGTGTATATGTGTGCAGGACAGATGGCAGATTGCCCTGTGGAGGTGCAGGGGTGTTCTTTTTTTTTTTTTTTTGGGATGTTCCTTAGAATGGAAGATAGCTGGGTAGCATGCCTATAATCTGAGCACCCTGGAAGCCTGGGGCCAGAGGCTCAGGAGTTCCAGCTCAGCCTGGGCAACAGCAAATTTATGAGGAAAAAAGAGGTCAAATGGCACTAATCCATGACAGTGGTTATTTTCCCCAGCTATTAGTTAAAGTTATTTCCCTATGATGGTCCACATCATGATGAATCATGGGGTCCAGAAGTCAGGAAGAGATTGCCTACAGGTGGACCATGAGGAGCAGATTTCTAAATGCAGTTTAGGGCAAGGGTGTGGGTTTTTGTTTTTTTTTTTTTTTTAGGGTGTGGGTTCTTGTGTCTAGAAGTCTTGGGTAACACCTGGCTTTGCCCCCTACTGCCTGTGTGGCCTAGATTAGTCGATCAACTTCTCTGAGCCTCATTTGGGCAAAGTACATTGCATCTCTGGAGGGATGAAGTGTGATAGTGCCTGGCTCCTGGCTAAAGCCTATTACTCTATGGCATTAGGATTTTTTTTTTTAAGCATTTGGTTGTTACAGGGTCTCACTACGCAGCTCAGACTCATGGTGATACTCCTGCTTTCAGCCTCCCCAGCACTGGGATTACAGGCATGCACCACTAGGACCAGACTCTGGCCCTCAACCTGCCCTGGGGACAGGGCTGGTGCAGCATGTGGTTGGGAGATGGAACCATGGTCTCTGCGCTTGCCTAAACTCGCCTAAGCAGGTACCTTAGTCCTCTGAGCTATCTCGCTGGCTGGACATTGTGGTTCTTCAGTGCTTATGTTCTCACTGGAGACAGAATCCTGTAAGCTCCCCTCAGGTTCCTGGGAAAATGCCTATCTGCATAGAAGCATTACTCTGGACTACAATCAGCTGCTGGCCTTTGAACTCTGCTGACTGCATGCCAAGGCCATGGGCATGGCCTCCTGACCAAATGCATCTTAGAGCAGCCACCACCCAAGGATTTCTCTCACTAATTGTGAACCAGCAGGGCAAGGAATATGCAGGGCTGTCCTCAGGGTAGTAAAGCAACCTTCCCAGGGTCACACAGCTCACAGGTAAAGGTACAAATGAGTTTAAGATGTAGCTGTCCTCATACCCTGGTCAGAGTTTGCAGAACATGTCCCTCCTTGTAACCTCAGCTTCCACAGTTCAGAGTAGTAAGGGCCCATGTTTAGGGAGTCCAGTTGTTGAGAACCAGTAGATAAATCCAGAGAGGCACAGAGCTCTGCAGAGCGATCTGTCTGCCAGTTCAGTGGTCTTCCCAGTGGTGCCTTTATGTCAGATTTCATTGTGCTGGACATTCACGGACAGGGTGACAGGGTGGAGGGTAAGGACGCTCCTGTGCAGCCAGTTTACCAGAGTGCCAGTCCCACAAGTATCATTTACACCTGCATGATGTAACTTCTTTCTGGCTCTGTTTCCTCCACTATAAAAGGGGTTTCATAAAAGGTTCTGGCTTGTAGGACTAAATGACTTAATACATACTTAGACTTTAGAACACTGCCTAGTAATAGGTGATAATTACTTTATACTATTAAATATTGTTTAGGAGCCTGAGGGATATCTCAGAGGCATAAGCACCTACCTGGCAAGCACAAGGACCCAAGCTCAATCCCCAGCCCCACATGCCATGTAGTCTCGTCCCAGATGCCTGCGTTTGTGGGACTGGCTCCGATGCCCAGGTGCACTGTCTTGGCTCCAGATGCAGGCACCCACAGTGCACTCCCGGAACTAGGCATGGTGGTGCACGCCTGTAATCCCAGCACTTTGGAGGTTAAGCCAGGAGTATTTCTTCGAGTTTGAGACAAGACTAAGGGTTGCAAAAGTGAGCACAAGGTCAGCCTGAACTGCATAGTGAGACCCTGTTTCAAAATAAATAAATAAACATTGGTGTGTGTGATACTGTGATTGAATCCAATACCTGGTGTATGCCATATAAAGTGTTATAACCTGTGAAATTGATTCCAATTTTGTAACTCTGTATGCATCCACTGTAACTTTATTAACTGTTATAACCTGACATAGGCGCCGCCATCTTGTTCTGTATGCGCCATTCTAAATGCTGTAACTTTCCACTGTGCCCCGTTCTCTACTTGAGAACCTGCAGTTGGGCCTTTCTCACACTGTCCTTTGTGCACACCTGAATCTAGTTCCGGCCCAATTCCCTGTTCTTGTCCTCGTTCCCAGCTACAAACTGTACCCACCACTGCACCTGTTATTGTTCATTAGAAACAGGTAATTTTTCAACTGTAGCCCCTAGATGAACCCTTGACGTCAGCTTTTGTGTTTATTGGCCTAAATACCCGCTCCCCTCATCCTCCCGGTATGCACCTCAGTGTCTTGCCGGGGTGTCTGCCGCTGGGTACCAGCTAAAATAAAGCGCTTCTTTTCGAGACTGCCTCATTTTTGAGTTACAACATAAAGCGCTCTACCACTAAGCTACAAATTATTTTGAGAGTCTTGTTAAATGTCCCAGGCTGGCATAAACTTGCAATGCTACTACTTCAGCCTTCAGAGTAACTGGAATTACAAGTGTGTGCCTCCATACCTGGTGAAAAGAAAAATCTTCACCACTAATGAAAATAAGAATCGATGGCTCAGTGGAGTAAGTGCTTCCCTGGCAAGTGCAAGGGCCTGAGTTCAATCCCTGGTTCCAGGAAAAAAAAAAAAAGAAAGAAAGAAAGAAAAGAAAAAAAGAAATAGTGAAAGGGAGCCAGGTATGGTGGCTCATTCATGTAATCTCAGACGCTCAAGAAGCTGAGGCATTTCAAAAGAAGAAGAAGAAGAAGAAGAAGAAGAAGAAGAAGAAGAAGAAGAAGCAGCTGAGGCAGGAGGATTGTAAATTTGAGGCCAGCCTGGGCAAATAAGGAAGACACACTGAACACTAGTAATAAAAGCAACTGGGGAGGCTTGTGCGATAACTCAGCAGACTAAAGCACCTGCTTAGGCAAGTGCAGGGACTGCTGTTCCATCCTGGGAACCACATGCTGTGCCAGCCCTGCCTCCAGGCAGGCTGACCTGGCCAGAGTCTGGCTGGCCACAACGGCATATGCCTGTAACCCCAGCATTGGGGAGGCTGAAAACAGGAAGATCGCTATGAGCCTGAGCTGCGCAGTGAGACCCTGCACCAACTAAATATAGAGGAGGAGGAGGGTGGGGGAGGAGAGGAGGAGGTGGAGGAGGAGGGGGAGGATGAGGAAGGGGTGGGGAGGAAGGGGAAGAGGAGGAGGACTAGGATTGGAGTTCATTGACAGAGTGACCCTGGGTTTAATCCCCCGTACTGGAAGAAAAAATTTAAACTCTATTTAGATAGATAAATAGAAAAGGATAGGCACTATCTGGTTTTTCATTTAGCCCAGGGTCTGTCCATCACATCAAATGAACCCCTCCTTGAGGCCTTCCCATGCCTTGAGATTTTCTGGGCATGTGGGGTTGGGCCGGCAGGGTTTGGTAAGTCTGAGTGCCTAAACTACCGGATGCCAGATGTCTCACACGGGCCACAGCAGAGAGTAAAATGGGCAAAGGCACAACCTGTGCTTCAGTGCTGCTCCGCACAGACAAAGCTCGGCCAAACGACCTATATGGGGACAAGGACAGGCCATAGGGAGCGGCAGGGTCGCATTCATGGTCAGTCTCTTCACCCAGTTCCCTTGCTCCATTATCCGCGTGCGGATAGGTGAGTGCCGGCGCAGGCAGACACCTGGCGGGACTGCTTGGGAGCTCTGGAAAGCCGAAACTGAAGGAGAGGGCCCCAGCACTGGGGCCGGGGACTGAAGGACAGCTTGGCCTGCGTTCCGGGAACGGCGAGCAGCGGGGAACTGCTTGTCAGCTCCAGGAAACCGGCCTAGGGCGGCAGGCACGCCCCGTAGGGCCGGGAGCACAGCCCTGCCGGCGCGGGCGGCTGCCGGGGGCGGGGACGAGCCCGCGCTGCGCACGGAGCGCAGGGAGCCGCCGGGCGGGAATCTTTCTCCCCGCCTGGATCAGCGTGCAGGGTGCAAGTTTGCGCCCGGACCAATGCCCTGAGCTAGAGGTGACCGGGCAGTGCTCCCAGGTGTACACAAAGTGAAATTACAAACCTACTTTTTCTCCCCATAAACACTGCCTCGTTTGCCAAGATTGTTTTTCTATGGAGCATGTGAATAATAAAACTCATTGACTTTATTTTGAGTTTGGCTTTTTGTGCCCGGAAGATAAAGGATTGTTGTGATAAGGGATTGAAGTAGGAATGCAGAGATCTGGAAATTAGATTGGTCATTAAGAAAGTGTCTTTAAGCCAGCCCTGGAGGTAGGGTTAGGTCACCTCTCTGTGCTCCATTTTCTAAAACGGAAGGAGTAGCAAGCCAGATTCTGTTGGGGGGTGGGAGGGGCGGGGGTGGGGGAGTTACGTGGTCCCTTCCGTCCTCAGCTGAAGTGTTAATGACTTAGAAACTGCTCAAACCTTTATTTCCCAACTTCTGTTCCTTGTATATTAGGCTGCAAAGTGAGTAGAGGGAGTGATCCACTCCACATTGTGGAACCCTTGGCACCAATCAAATTGCATAATAAACAGTTTTATTTCCTAACTTTGGGAAATGAAACAATGTTAATGGAGATAATGGAATGAAAGAACAACACGCAAAATACATTTTTTACTTTTATTTTTATTTGGGGCTGGGGAGATGGCTCAGTGGAATAAGCACTTCCCTGACAAGCACAAGGGCCTGAGTTCAACCCCCAGTTCTGCCCAAAAAAAAAAAACACTTTTATTTTTATTTATTTAGGTGGAACTGGGGATTGAACTCAGGCCCTTGTGCTTGCCAGGGAAGCTCTTATTCCACTGAGCCATCTCCCCAGCCCCACATTTTTTAGATTGAACAAAAATTTCAATAAACTCACGAAGAAATATGAAAACTAAACATACACACCACCACATTCACTGGCAATGCTCAGTAAACTGGAAATTGTGGACAGTGGGGGACCACACACCTCCAGCAGCACTGGCCCAGACATCCCCAAAGGTTCCCTTAGTGGTGATTTACACGGGGACACCCATAGGCACACACTGACAAACCAGGAAGACAAAGAACATAATAAAACAAAGTGCCAAGGTCACACAGGTCAGAAGTAAAGGTGAATGAATTTCTGTTACAACTGTTCCATGTCCTGGCCAGGGGTGACAGAGTGTGATATCACTGGATGATAAACCCCACACATCCCTATGTTTACAGGTACACTTGTCACCACTCATGAAAATCAAAATCAGGTTCACCTTCAAACATAGAAGATAGTCATGAAAGAGAACTAGGGGTGGTGGTACAGGCCTATAATGCCAGCCCTTGGGAGGTTGAGACAGGATCACTACGAGTCTGAACTGCGTGGTCAGACCCTGTATCAAATAAATAAATAAGAAAGTAGTCATGAAAGTAATGCATATATATCTGTGCATCTTTTTTATTTTTAATTTAGGACAGGGTGTACAGTGTGTACAGGGTCTCACTGTGTAGATCAGGCTCATAGTGATCCTCCTGTTTATAGCCTCCTAAGTGCTGGAATTACAGGCTTGCACCACCACACCCAGTCTTGTGCATCTGTTTTGTCTCCCATAACTGGCCTTGGGCTTCCTCTTTAAGATTTGAAGCAGCAGTGGTGTGAAAGACAAGCCTGGGCTAAAGGGAAGCTTTATGCTGACCACATTCCCCAAGCAGGTGATTAGATTCAGAGGCAGCAATCCACTTCCTGTGTCCATGAGCCTTAGCTAAACTGTTGAAGTTGTCCAATTAAGTAAAACAGGATTGTAAATGGTGTAACTATTTGGGATTGTTGCGAGGCTTCAAAGATGGAAATGTGATTCACCAGTTCTGGCAGCCCAAGTGCTTTGCAACAGTCAAAAATATGGAGGAGGGCTGGGAAAGGTGGTAAAAGGCTGTGATCCCAGGTCCTATGGAGGCTAAGGCAGGCAGATGAGGAGTTCAAGGCCAGAGTGTTAAAATGAGTGAGAGGATAGGAGGGAGAGGGTGAACCATATGGAAGAAGAGGACAACTTGGTTATTTAGGGAGGCCTCATCTCAAAATAAAAATGAAAAGACTGGGTGTTGTAGCTAGGGATTGCAAGGGGAACAATGCTGGACATATAACTTATAGTTATTTCATATAGTCACCCAAAGAGCCATACATAAAGAGTGCAGGAATCCTGCCCACACACTAAGACCAAAGAATCCAGCTGAGGCCTGGATCCCACAGCACTGGGAAGGCCCAAAGGCCAGTGAAAGCCAGAAAGTCTGTGCCAGCAGGATAAAGCATCTGTGCTCGCAGGCTGAGGAATCCGCACTGGAGCCAGGAAGCCTTGCTCAAAGTAAGAACCAGAGCTCCCACCAGAAGTACCATAGCTGGGCCGGGTCCACAAAAAAAAAAAAAAAAAAAAAAAAGTACCATAGCCATCCTCAGCAGCAGTGAGGTCCCAAGCGCTTTTGACTTAAGAAAACAGCAATGTGACAAGTTTCTCCAGGACTCTAAGCAGTGTATTATCTTCCCCTCTGGAGCCAAGAAGCAATGATCAATGTGAGCACCAGAGCTCCCCCAAAGTCAACCATAGCCATTCTCAGTGACAGCAAGGTCCTGAGCTCCCCCAGCGATCAGAACAACGAAGCTCATTTGGGAAAACAGCACGATAAGCTCCCCCAGGAAAATCAGCAGCTTCCTACAGCTTCCCAACAGCTTCAAACAGCTCCCAACAGCCTCCCTTCTTTCCCAGTTCTGCCTCTTATGCTGCTGGCAACAATCCTCAGGCCTCCTACACCTAGCACTACACTGGCTCAGTTCAGCAGGGTGTTACAATTTGACCACCATTTGTCAATCTACCACACTGCAGATATATAGCTCATTAGAAAGGCCCTAGGTTCAATCCTGAGTGTGGGGCATGGCAGGTATTAATGGAGAAATATTTACTTGTCTTGATTTTTTTATTTAATGTAGGACCTGCATGTTGTCTGAAGTTATCCCTTTTTCAGGCATCTTCTAATTTCAAGACTATCATCGGCAGAAGGTTGGCCTGGCTAGGCTAGGGGTGCTCCAGGGAGGATTGACAACTGTGCCCACAGGTCCCTTTGATATGGGGGAAATGAAACTCCGGACCTGAAATGTACCTGGGATGAGTTCCTGTTCTCTAAAACAGAACAATGAATTTTAAGAACAAATAGAGGTTAAGGGTATAGTATTTATTGGGGAAAAGAAAGCTTCTGGGGGCCGGGAAGATGGCTCAGTAGAATAAGCGCTTGCCTGGCAAGTGCAGGATCCTGAGCTCAATCCCTGGTTCCAAGAAAAAAA